CATAATCTTCATCAACATCACCTTCCTTTTGTCACTCTGTTGACTGTTGTAAAAGCGACAAATATGATCAAGTCAAGAGGAAAAGACTGAGGGACAAAGAGTGGGAGGCAGACGGGCAGAGGGAATCTCCAGTGTTCTCTAGTTGAGTTATGTGCATGGCTTTGGCAGCGATCTCCTGTAGTCACGCCAATAAAGCTTTACTGAATTTAATTAAAATTCACGCCAGAAAGATGGAGGCAGACGGCTTTGGCAAAGGGTATCTGTGTGTGTGTGTGTGTGTGTGTGTGTGTGTGTGTGATAGAGATAGAGAGAGAGAGCAAGTGCTCTCTGATGCTGGAGATAAAAGATGAAAACTAAACAACAAAAGCTCACCAGCTGTGAATGGCAGGCGATATCAAACACATCCCTACCCTGGAGAGTATAGCATGTATGTGTGTGTGTGTGTGTGTGTGTGTGTGTGTGTCAGTGAAAAAGAAAAATGGAGAGAAAGAGAGAAAACAGGATAGAAAGAGAGACAGGGACAGAGAGAGGGGAAGGGAGGACAACTGAGAAAGAAAGAGAAAAAAAAAGTGATGGATAAAGAGAGAGAGGGGAGAAACCACACAGGCAGGATGGTAGAGATTATTCTCTTGTAAGCAGCTTTGGTATCATCAGCACAACAGAGCTCAATTAGTCTCGTTCTCTCTGCCTCATTCTCTAAGTAGCTCAAATAAAACTGCGTCTTTGCCCTTACTTCAGCTTGAAAGCCCTCAACCAAAATGGCTACAAGCAAGTTGAAGAGAACGTAGTTGCCAAAGGTCATTAGGGCTACAAAATAGAGGGCAGCCAACGGCGTGGTAGAGGCCATCCCGTTATAGAGCACCGCGTTCCAGTCCTCCTGGGTGAGGATCTGCACATGGGAGGAGATGTGAAGAGAGAGGTGGGGAGAAGAAAAATACACTGTCAAACATTTCTAGTAGCTGTAAGCATGATAAGAAGAATAATAAGAGTAGATTCCTCCTTTAATATCTCATTGTCAGTTGAACAGTAATGATGCTCATCAGTGTTAAATGAGCTCCTGTGGAGTGCGTGTTTCATTACTCTTCCTCCCCCTCTGCTTGTGAAGCGTATCTTACCTGCCCACTGGGAGAGTTTATATATTTTGTTGAAAAGACGAGCTTGAGCACTCCGAAATTGGAGCAATTGAAATAATGGAGATCGTCAGTGCTACTATTGGTGACCGCAGCAGCTGCTGTTTGACTCTCATCTGAATTAATTTTGAAATGATACTACATTGAAAGGGAAATTCCTCCAAATTAAGTAT